TTTCCAAACAAAGGGGCAGTGATATCAGCCACAAGTCCAACTTGAGACTCAGGGGGTTGATAGAGAGGGTACAGAGCTCAGGCTGAAGCCTCATTTCTGTGAATGTTTTCTCATTAGTCAAGAAATGAAAACACACAGATAACAAGTAGAAGAAGGAGGGAAGTCAAGAGAAACACCAATGGCCCCAAAGATATTAAAAATATCAGCAAGAAATAAGACAGTCATTCAACCTGATCCAACAGGGGAAACTTGCCCTAAATCACAAGCTGAGAGAGGGAAAAGAAATTTGGGAAGTAGTAGTGCTGTTAGATCCTGAAATGCAGGAGGCCAAGTAGATGAGGGGAGGCTCTGCAAGACAACTGAGAGCCCGAAGAGGCTGGGCTATTTTAGATGGCAAAGCAAGGGGTGCTTGATTGCGGAGAGAAGAATCCTCTCCCCCCAGTGACACTTACTTTGAAGGCTGAGGGCAGCTGCAGGCACCGGAAGGAAAAGGAAATGGAGATCAAAGGAACACGACCAGGAGGACACCTCACTCTTTTCACTGTACACCACCTGTTCTGAGGAGCTCACAGCACTTCACAAGACTTAACTGAAGAATATACTGGAGGCAGAAAATGCAACAAGAACTTGCCCAAGTTCACTCACAAAAACAGGTGAGGGGCGGGGCTGCTGGCCACAGAGGCCTCTACTCTCGGTCATCTATTCTAGGCAGGGAACCCAGAGAGTGTGTAATAAACATGAAAAACTCTGGGTTGCTATGAGTCCCAAGGGGAGTGGGTAATTGAATGATACCGAAAAAACCTGGCCAGGACTCAGGGATTATCATAAAGTTTCCTATTTCTGCCCCCAAGGGAAATTCCTGCCCATCTGTAGTAAGTCGGTGATCAGCTCCTTACAAATGACCCTACAACAGGGCACTTCTCTCAGATCTATCCCTGATACAGCAGTTTCAGAACAATCAGTCCAAAAGACACTGGAGATTTGTGAAGACGCAAGGAAAAGCATATAGTTACTGAGATAGCTTCATATATTCTCAAGTAGCCTCAATGAGGACTTAGGTATGAAGTCAACAGATGTCAGGGTCCTAGCATGTAAGCCAGGGGTTCATAATCCAACAGTGGGCTGCTGGTGGAACTTAATAGATACACAAATAACAAACCCTACCCCCTGAGCTTCTGATTCCATATAGATAGGATGGGGCATAGGAATGGGTACTTTTTAGAAGCTGCACAGGTATTCTGATGTCTTAAAGCTCTCCTGACCATTTCTCCAAGCTGACCACCAACAAGCTAAATCCAGTGATCTATAAATGCTTTGAAAATGAATATGATCTCCCTCTACCAAATCAGTAGAGTATAGAGTCACAATACTAATATCTGGGCTCAAACACTAAGCAAAAGCTGAAATTAGATTACTGCCAGTTTTTTCTTCTCTACAAAACACCTACACAAACTTTTCTCATTGCCACATATTAAAAGGCTCAAAGCGAAAAAAAAAAAAAAAGGTTCAAAGCACCACCATACAGTCAGGCAGGAGAAACAATGAGGAAAGAAATGGGGGGGAGTGGGGGACAGAGAGTAAATAAGACTTATATTCATAAAAACTGAGAACCGGAAGAAAGCTGCAGTTACTTTGCCACCCATTGTTTTCAAAGGGATAATATATTAATGTATAACTCAGGTTGGACTAATGGCTATTAATAAGGAAGATGATTTCAAAACCTCCCTTACTCACTTCTTCAAAACCTAACAACCCTCCAGGACAGGCAATGCTTTTGTATCCCTAACTTAAATCTTGCTTGCTTGGCTCCAGTCCATTTCTGTCCTTTGTTAAAATGAAAAACAACTCAGCTCCTTCCACATAAAAATCTTTCAGAAAATTTAAGAAAAGAGGGGGAGGGTTAGCCACCAAGAGCACATACATTTGCTTCTTTTTTTTTTTTAATACATTTACTTCTTAAGGAAAATGACAGTTCAACCAAAATGAGAGAAAGAATTGAAAAACTGCACAGGATTTGAAGTTGTAGGGTGTTTACAACTGATAACCTTGAGTTCCACTTCAAGACTCAGCAGATCTGGCATAAAACCTCAAATTACTCTTCTCTAACTCTGTTAACACTGCAGAGACTTCTTTCCTTCCCTTAGAGAAAGTCTAATAGAAATCCCAGCTCTCACCTACTCTCTCTAATAACTTAAATCCCCATCTCTACTGGCTCTCACTTTGGCTTTTAACCATATTTTAACCATATTTTTAACTAGGTCTCTTCTGAATTAAAAAGCTTTTAATGAGCACTACTTTCTGCACATATGTACTTCTCTTTCTCTCTAATGCCCTTCACACCTAAATAGGATGTGTCTCTATTTCTTTTTTTCTTTTCAACATTTTATTATTAATAATTTTGATTTCTAAAGAAGTCACAAATTCCTCCTGAACATTTGCTCTTCTTCTGGAATGTACCCCCACTATTTTGACATATTTTAATTTTTCCCATCCATTTATTCATTTAGTATTTAGTTCATTCCTTACACTGTACTAAACCCGGTGATGTAAAGGAAATAAAGAACATGGCCCTGACCTTAAAAAATGAAGACATACATAAAACAACGATTAGAGACTGGTTCCAAGGTAGTAGGGCTAGTTTGAGAAGGCCCTGTGGCTCCAGTAAATATAGAGTTGGATCTAAAAATAAGTGTAGAATTTGGTGAAAAGGCTACTTTAGATAGAAGGAACAGTTATGATTCAAAGCAACAGGCCATATGAGGTAAGAGCTGCATAAAGGCCCTCTGTCACTTCCTTCTTTGCCCCCAACTCCCACAAAATTCGTATGTCCTTTGGTCTTCAAATTTTGCTTCGGAGTTAGTTATCCATGAATCACAAGCTCTATGACTGTTAGCACAGCTACCACATATTAGAGCAGCACACGAAGCCCTATACACCAGGTCTTATGTTGGTTACCACAAGGCAGGCTTTTAGAATCATCTCGGGTAGTCTTCAATAAAGAGTGCATGGAGTCGGGCATCTGCAAGAGGCAAGATCTGAGGCACACAAAGGCAGTACTACTTTTGGGTGCTAAAGATATGTACCAGCACTCGAGCTCAGTCAGACTATTCAAGGGTCATTCAACTTCAGCTAAGTATTTCCTTCATTCACAGCTCTAAGACAAACAAAGCCATTTAAAGCAGTTTGAAGCACTGAATTCCTATGTGAAGCAGGGACATTTAATGGTGATGCCAAAGATTCCAGTTTTCACTGTTTTCCTGGAGAGCTTCTCCTCTTCTTTTGTCTCAGAACTCACAGTTCAAGCATCCCTTCCTCTGTGAAGGTTTTTTTCCTAATCCCCCTAAGCTGATTTAGGTTCCCTGCCCTGTACTGCCATAAACACCTTTATACTTATTTCCAGGACAGCATTTGCCACATCATGTTGTACTTATTTGTTTGCATGTCTGACTAGCCACAAGCTCTTTGATGGCAAGGATAATGTTTTATTCATCACTGATTCTACACATAATTGGCACTTAATAAACGTTTGTCAAATGTATTAATGATTAGTGACATGGTAAATTTTAAAGAATGATGACCATACTTTCTGGATTCCAGACCAAAATTACAATATGGACTAATACTTAAGACTAAAATTCCACATTACTTTTCTGTTACCTGTATCATTCTGGGTTAGAAAAAGAGGCCAAAGATACAAGAAGATGGCTCTAACAATGCGGGTCACTGCCAAGTAACCAGCCAGGAATTCGAGAGCCTCCAACACCAAGAATGATCGATCCAACACAACAAACAAGGAACAGAGCTAAATCCAAGACAGTTGTCTATGTTTCAGGTTCATTCTCCTGCCTTTGGAGATTACGAACAATGGTCAATGAGGACCCCTGGAAAAGTCACCCTCTCCACAGCCATGGAACCTTGTGGCCAATTATGATTCCTGCTGAAAGAATATACAGGAAAGGTGGTCATTTGTGACCAAAGCCAAGTAAGCTTCCACTAAGGGACAGGGATCTAAGTCCTCCCAGAACTTTGCCATGCTGTACATTAGCATTCCAAATCATTCCTCACTGGGTTTACTCATCTCTGAAGAGATGCAGGCAAGGCAATAAAATGCTGCTGTCTCAAATGCCTCTCCCTGTAGCAATCCTGAACCACACAAGGCCACTTGTTTACAGGCTGCTAATACGACACAAAAGTCTAATCTGATCCTGTGGGAACAAGGCCCCACGTACCCTCAGGGATTAAATACATTTAGTCGGCTTTTGTATTCCCAAACTTGTGGGGCTCTACGAAATTGAACAAAGCATAAACACCACCACTCAGACAAGTGAGGAGATGGAAGGGGACTTGGTTTCTGGAGAACTTCTGCAGCAGGGTGGGATACAGCGAGTCAGATGAGCAATGTCCAGGGGCAAATCAGAATTTGCTTGGCTGGCAGATACTTGGCCCCTTGCATGTTACCTTTTCTAAAAAGCCAAGAAACTCCAGTTAAATTAATTCAGGTCTCTTGAATAGACAAGTAAGTTTGTTTTGACCCCAGGGAAGAGCATTTACCAAGCCAATTCCTCTGACTAGGTGTTTTAGCATATTTCTGCTACCACTGTCTTACATAAACCCAGCTGTGACACTTAACACTTGTGGTAACTCAGCCCTTCACAGGATACGTGGTCCCAATACTTTCTTCCAAGAAGGAAAACTGAGTCATAGCATATCAACTGGCTTCCCCAAGCACAGCCTTAGTTTGTAGTGAGGCCACAACTGAACCCTCATGTTGCCTTCCTCATGCTCTTTTCGCAGATGAATCTCAGCAATGCTCACCCCTGCGGCTCTATTCCCTTTACCCTATAACTAAATCACTGCTTTCTTGAGGGGCAGAGATGGTCCTTTAGAGCCACCATGAGCTTCTAGTTCTCCTCTTTCCCCAGAAAGAGTAAGGTAAAAGACGTACGTGGAGCAGAGAAGAGGAGGGACGGGAAGGGTTGGCTTCCAATACTAGGACTCACCTTGGAGCTGAGGTCCTCTCGCCGGTTTCCTGCCTTACTCCTGCGTAATTTGATGGACGGAGATCGCAGAAGGTTCTTGATCCGGCTGGTAATGGTTGACCCCTCCACAGCCATCATGATGAGGAGCCCCTGGGACAGCTCCTGGCCCAATCCTGGGACTTGCCTCAACAGCGGCAATGCTTTCCCACTCCACAGACCCTTCCAGTATGCCCTCTCACTGACCTGAGATGGTAGAGGCCACCTTAACCTTCTGCCTAGCCGTGGCTGCAGCTCTTATCTCTAGGTACCTGCCCTCTCCCTTAGCCTCATTCCCACCTTCAAGCCCTGCGCGATTTCCTAAAACGCCTTAAGGACAGACTCAGGTAAAGGGGGCGTTAAAAAGCCTGAGCTGCGAAGAAATGCCAGGCCCACACCTGCCAGAGGCGTTCAATTGAAAGGATAAGATGGGCCCTAGAAGGGCGAGTGGCTGGTCCGATTCCCGTTAATTCCCAGCTGTTTTCATGGCAACAGCAGTGTCTAAAGGAGGAGGACACCGAGGCTACCAAGGAATCCCGCAGCGGTCGTGAGCACCTGCGCCGGCTGCCGCAGGGACACTCAGCCCGGCGGCGCTCCTCTTGGCCCTGCAACCCGTTCTGCCACGGGGGCCTCCCTCCCCCACCCACGACCCTCCCGAGCTCGCTCACAGGCCGCCACCGGAGCCCTAGATCTTTCACTTTCCGCTCCCTCAGAAGCCCCTGCTACTCGCCAGCGCCCCCGCTCGGGCCCAGCCTCACCAGCCCCCGGGCGCGAGGGCCGCCCGGCTCGCAGCGCCCTCAGGCATCGCGCTCAGCGATTTCAGCTCCGCTGCGGCAGTGGCAGCAGCAGCTATGGTGGCACGAGCGGCTCAAAACGCGAACTACCGTCTGGGCTCAGCCACCGGCTGGGTAGGAGGAGCGGAGGCGAGGGGGCGCGGCCTCTACGCACGGGGGCGTTCCCAGAGTGGACGAGTACGGCTCACGGGGGCGGGGCCCAGGAAAGGGCCTAGGAAGCCGAGGACTGGGCACTCAGGAACCACGGATTCCGCACCATGCAGTCGCGACTACGGATCCTAGAGGGAGGTCGTCAGAACACGGCTTCAGAACTGAGAAAACCAAGCCTTTTATGGTATTATCAGGCCTGGTCCCCCCAGAGAAGCGCACTTCCCAGAACCCTAACAGGAATAGGTAACCACGCCCCCAGCGGCACTATGGTTGCCTTTTAATAGGCCGGAGGGACCAGAGCTGAAACTAACTTCTAGCTCAGAATTACAGGACTGGGTACAGCCATAAAGTCTGCTCCTAAGCGCTGGGATTTAAAGTGGCTAGAATAATTTCTGTTCCCCGCCTGCCGGGCGCGTTGACCTGCATGAGTAAGTCGATCGCTACGAAGTGTATTGAACTAGGCAACCTGATTGGCCGCGGTGGAAGAAGGCGGAAGGAGCTGATAGCCTAGGATAGAGCTTTAGGCGGGAAGGGGGCAGTCGGGTCAACGTGCCGATGAGACATTTGTTTGATGTTTTCTTTAGCCTCTAATGTTCCATCTCGTTCTCATCCAGTTAACCAGTTGCTCCAGCCATTTTCCATGTTCCTGTCAAAACTCACTCGCGAACCCTTGTCCCTGGTACTGTTGCTTTGACGAGATCACTGCCAAGCTTATTGGCACCAGATCCAATAGGAAGAGTTTTTCTAGTTCACGGGTGGGGGAGAGAAGTTGGGGGGATGGCAGAGCGTGCACAGAAATACCTTTGCCTATTACTTAATACGTGTTTCAACCTAACTTTGTTTTCTAGGTGCATTTCTGCCTAGTTGCTAGAGAAATTACCTTACAAAAAGGTTAACCTACTCCAACAGTTGGGCTCCAGAGAGAGTACACCGATATGCTTCCCATCTGATCCAGATCCTTAGGGGAACCCTGGGGGAGATGAGATATTAGCAAGAGGGAAAAACTCTTAAACCTACTGCTGTGAGTGGCTCTTTTACTGCCAAGTGGCAAAACAGGTATATACTTGTGTGAGAACTGTAAAGCTAACAAGTTGACATAAACATCAGGGACGTCACTTCTTGGAAAACCAGCTGGCAGTAGCTACCAAAGGCATGACCTTTCCTTCCTTTCAACCATGCATCACAGAGGTAATGAAATATAAAATGGTGGTCAGGGTTATTAGCCATAATAGTATGAAATAGGGGGCTGGTTCCTTTTACTCCTTGCTAGTCTGATTTTTGCCACCATGGCGGCAGGCAGGGGATCGTGGAGGATCAATGTAGCACTGCTAATAAAGGGTGCCACCTGGTGTCCTTACTTGTGTGCTGCATTCCCTAGCAAATCACCTGCACCCATTAAAGTTGTCCCTAATTCTCTCTGGATCATTTCTCACTTACCTAACCACTCATGGCCAGGAAAGTCATTGGTCATTTCCTATCCGAAGCTGCTTGGTTTATCCTCTTCAGAAAAATGTTCTCCAAATTACTCCCATCTGAAGCTGAAGTTACAGAAACAATACAAGCTCCTGCTTTCATTGTCTAAGATGATCTGGCAAAAACCAACTGAGAACAGTGTAATTAATGAAGAGACTTCTTAAGTCTAGAATCTGGATACTTCCAGTCTAGGATCAACATCATGTATTTTTTAATTTTTCACAATTGAGTCCTACCTTACTGTCTAGGATATGTAACCATGTAGAAATAGGCTATGTAACCATGAGAAATAGGCTTGTAGGCTCAGAAAATAATCATCCCAGGCCCAGTGTGAATAGACTCATTATTCCTTTTTCTTCAAATAATTGCTATCCCACCCTCCAAAATGCAGCTGACCCTTACACATGTATTTCATTGTTCATATGCTATTTCACGTTTTATTCACTTGTCTATGTCCTCAATATGTATACATGGTTGTCAGATTCTAAAATTCCACATGTCTAGGAAAGGTGTATACAATTGTCTGTTTTCACGGTCATAATTAGATCAGATTTTTAAATTTACCCTAGGCTTAATATACAAATAGGTGCAATTATAAGATCCTGGAAAACTAACAGGCTAAAGTAAACAGTTGCTCATCAATTCAAATATTTATTGAGCACCTTTACATGCAAGGCACTGTGGGACAGCTGAGACCAATGTTTGCAGTTGGAAACAGGGTGGATCTCAAAGCAATGCTTCCAAGACTGCTTTCTTATTTAACAAAATCTAATAACATAGTTTACAATGACAGAATTTAGTAGAGCTTAGATTTGTCTCAAAATTTCAACTCGTCCCACGATTAAGCCTTCTCACCCTCCACACACTTCCATCCCTATTAATCAGCACTTAGCATATCTTTGTAGAGCAGTTCAGTCTTATGCTACAATATGCTACAATTATGCCTCAGTCCAAAAGTTGTATATATCAAATTATTTCCCTCTAACTTAATTTCAAAAAAGCATTTTACTTTTTCTCCAAATGGCAGTAAGTCTATATACCTCAGCTTTAATTTTCCCTGCATCCAGCAATTCATGTTCATGGAAAATTTCCTAAGAGATAACACAACATGAAGTACTGATGCCCTTACATTTTCTTAAAAATCAACAATTCTGTGCAATAAATCTATTCTGATTCTTGGTTATCAATCATTCTCTACAAAAGTATCTGAAAATGTGCCTACTTTGTGCCTCTGTGCATTGTTTTTTGTTTTAATATGAGAGTGAGGAATAAGGGTCATCATTTTTCAGACTATCTTCAAAGTGCATTTACCTCTCAATTCACCTGATATCATTCCAATATCTCAACTAGTATAATCAGGGGGAAAAAACTATCTATACTACTAAACCCTGCTCTAAATAATATATGGATTGTCTGCCTTTCTTCTGTGGTCAAAACGTTTTCAAACTTGTTATAGAAAGGCCTGTAGTTAAGTATCTCATCAAATTCTGGGGAAAAAACATTACACACAGTAATATGTATGAAGTTTATATAACTGGACTTGATCTGTTAGTGACCTTAGAGTAGTTTAATGTCTAAGGGACTCCTTTTAATAAATTTTTTTGTAAACTGTGACACTAGTTAACCTATAGCTTGCTTTAAGAACATCTATTGTCCTCAGCCACTAAGACTATGGGTAACAGGTATGTTACATCCTGCACACACTGGTACTAGGAGGCTAGTCATTCTTCACTGTAGAATGACTTCTTGAGACAAATACTTGCCATCAAGTTGTATGAAATTTCAAATTCTCCATGTAAAACATGCTGCAAAGATTAGAAAACCAAAAACCTCCCCCAAATGGCATGTCATAAACTTTGAAAACAGTAAGGAATTCCTATGATTAAACTCCTTCAGTGGAACCCCTCCCAGATGTCTCAGAGCATCAGAATTCTCTATTACAACTCAGCACAAACCTAGCAACACCAAGTCCTGCTTTAATTATTGTAACTGATTTATTTCAAGTTTATACATTCTCCCACTGACCAAACTTCTTCTGTTCTTAGGTTTCTGAAAAAATAGTCATTTTTCAAAAGCAGAAAAAGAAAGATATATATTTAATATATAAAAGAAAAAGCTAAATCTGACATAATTATATTCTTAAAAACATTCCATTTATTTACAGGTGTATAAAAAGGCGAATTATTGGTCTACTGAGATCATGCTTCTTATAGTTAGGGTGAGAGCTCACTATCCTCCCAATTCCTCAACTCCTCACTCAACTACATCTTTCATAGTCACACATGAATTTTCATAGATCAGTTTCTCCTGGGGTAATGTTTAAAGGGTTGGAGTTTTTGGAGACTTAGATTTCTATCAAGACTGCAGGATTGTTTTTAAGACTGAGCCCTCCTCAAATTAGCCCTAACAACTCCCTAGTTCTAAGAGGTCTTGCAAACACCATTATTGGGGGGGGGGGGGGGGGGCGTGTTTATAATGACATCTGCAGCCTTCCTTGAACACACTGGATCATCTCTCATTTCTATTTCTGGACATCTTCCATAAACAGTCAAATATCTTCCCATCAAGAAATGAATACTACCTATTTGTCTATTTTCTTCTAAAAAAGGGAACAGTGTTCAGAAGCAGAATGGTCCTTCTTTTCCTGAGGATTACTCGCTCACTTGCCTGCTCCTTGGCTGACCCTCAAAAGCTTTAAGAGCCTTGGAAGGTCAGGAGGGAACATAAGGACAAGACAAGCAAAGAAATAATGGGAAACTGCTATACCTGGATTAAACTACTAGCATCTCCAAGGACAGTTATTAGCAGGGAAGACAGGTGCTGGATTCCTTGGCTAAGGCATTGAATGAAATCTCCTGGGTAAAGAGAAGTGGGAGGGATAATGACAAGCTGAGTGGCGCTCATCACCTACTTCAAGCTCCTTCAGTAACCTTTAGAGGTGGGAAGGCTGGAGGCTGATGAGAAGGTCAAGAAAGGCAAGTAGCATAAAAAAACCAACAAAGAATGTGTTCCCGGTGCAATTCGCAGAGGAAACTTTCCCACCCTCTTCAATCTGTTTATTACCAGAGTTACTAGAAAGGGAACCAACCACGGAGGTAATAATTCACTGGCTAGGACCATTCCAAAGTTGGTTTCACAACCTGGTTCTGAAGATATGCTGAGTGGGATTTGGGGTAAAGAAGGCAGAGGATGTAGAAGAAACAGCACTGCCTAGGCACAGCCCAGGCACTGGAAGCTCTTGTGTTATTGTTTCACAACACAAGCAAATCCTGTCAATGAAGACAGAACAGGGGTTACATTCCAAAATATAATTATTTAAGAAAGGCAAAATGCAGCAGCTAAATCCCAGTCTATACATTTTCAGAATAGTGATTCTTGCCCCCAGGAGTTTCCAAGAGACCCCTCAAGTGCACCATGATTATTTACAAACTAGATAGGAAACATCATTTCTATACTCAATACAAATCTCATCTTCTAGGTTGAAAACTTCAGCCTTTGAGAAATCTATGAAAACAACTATACAAAAATATAAATATCTTTATCTTTACAGGCTGTCAGACCTTCATACCCTGACAGCTGAGTGAAAAAGCTCTACAGATCATTGAATCCATGGTAGCAGATAATAAAAAATATATCTTGTGATTCAAATACTGCCTTATTTCCCTGGTAAAGAGTGCCTACTGTGACTTTTCTTTTACAGCCTGTGCAGGTAACAGTGAATGAAACCTCCAAGCACCAGGAGGCTGGTTTGATGTGGGAAATACCCAGCCCCACAGTTTTTGTTTGTTTGTTTGTTTGTTTTGGCCACTGTCTCTGGTATGGGGAGGGAATGCTTATCATTTTACATGTCTCTTGAGTGATGTGATTTGTGAAAGGGGAAGGGCTCCCTGTATGTCTACCTCCAACAAATATATTCAAGGTAGAAATCCTTGGTACTGTGAAATGGTCTTCTCAACACCCAAACATAGTTAGGGAGAACTAGTTAATTTTTACATCTCAAAATGATTACCTTAGTAATAAAAGCTTTTTAAGAAGCATTCCTACTTTACCAGAAGGCTTAGATTTATAATCCTGATTGAAAAGGTGAGGGAATGGAAGCTACTTGGGATATGAAAGAAGAGAAAATTTTGTTGAATGATACTAAGTCCTTCACTTTGGTATTCCATGGTACCCATCCTCTCTCCCCCTATTCTGAAACACCAACTAAAAGCTACCTCTTCTGGATCCCTTTGCACAAGTGCATCACATTCCTTGGACTTCAGACTAAAAACAACAGCTATCAACTAAGGTTCAGTCCATAGCAACTCCTAAGTCTCAAGCAGCTTTTACTCTGGGAGGGAAGAACTAGGAACCACTATGGACCTAGTCTTGTTACAAATTCCTTGGGTAAGAGGGGCACCTCGTGTTCAGTAATGGATCACATCTTCTTGGAGAGGATGAGGAGACCCAGCACCACAAGTGAGGTAACACATTTTAACATGATCAGAATTTCATAGTAGTTAATTTCTTTTACGGACGTCAGCACCCTACCCCCTTTCTCTACCATCATTCACCACATTTCAAAGTCAAGGATCACAGTTCCATGACACAAACAAACAGGTGCCTGCAGAGAAAGGAGGTTTCCCCTCACAGCCTGGCTTCTGCCTGAGGACAACTAAATTCATTTCCCTGCAGAACTTGGTGAGGCCCCAGTGTTGCCCAGTTTGGCCACAACAGGTGCCAATGTAGGCATCACCTTGCTCTCCCGGCATTCCTGATCATTCCCTGTTAAGTTCATTTTGTGTCCAACTGACCCAACTTTGGCAGCTACAGGTGCCAAACAAGGCATCACCTTGAGACTCTGACCATCTGTATCACTGGAAGTATTAGCTACTTTTAAACCTAGAGGTGCCAACTTTGGCATCGGCCTCCACAAGGTATCTGTGCTGTTGTTTTCTACGCCACCCTTCATGTGTAGGATTGGGGGTGAGGACACACTTTCAGGCTCGGCAGGGATGCTAGAAGTACTCTTCCCTTCATCACCCGCTTTCCTGTGGGAAATGAGGGACTCCTTTATCTCAGAGTCAATGACAATCTTAAGCACATCTGGTTCAGAGGCTGGTTCTGCAAGTTGCTTTTCATTCTCAGAAAAGTCATCATCTTCCAAGTGCAAGAGGAGGGGGCTGACAGAGTCACTCTCCCCTTGCACATCAGGCAATTCCTTCAAAGCAGTTCCCAAGTGGCCAACCTGAAAAGTTGCTCTGTTCCCAGGAGGAAGCTTACTGATAAAAGCCCGGCGAGCATCCCCTGGGAACTCTGTATCCAGAGAGCTAGGCAGTTCAGCCAGGCTAACAGAGTCATCATTTAACTGCTGATTAAGAAAGGCAATCTCATTGAGCAGAGATGTCAGTGTCTCATCAGTATCATCCTCATCTTCCATACTAGTTAGCAGTTCACTGGGATCCAATGCTGCTTCCTCTATAGCTGATGCTACCTTTCTCAATTCCATCTCTATGCTTGAGTCTTTGAGATCTTTCATCTTTAATTTATGAAATGGAGACTCCTTTGTCTTCAGTCTCTCCCGTCTTGATTCACTCTCTTTCCATTTATGCTGACTCCCTCTGGTATCACCAGAAATCTTTTTGGGTAAGAATTCTTGTGCTTCTTGCATACTGGAAACATCAACTATTTGTGGAAAACCAGAATCTTTATGTGACAGATAAACCTGTGCTGTACCCAGTGCCATTCTGACATCTCTATGGTTGCCTCTGGAAGAGATTCTACCCAAATCTTCACAGGAGTTATCCTCACTCCTGACAGTGTTTTTCAGGTGGTCAGGTGGCTTGCCATCAGGAACTTCATGGGGGTATTTGCTGCCACTCATATCTACCAAACCTCCCTCCGTTGCCAATGATGTCACATTAACAATTCTTGGCATCATAAATAAGTCGTCATTTTCTAGGGAAGAAAAAAAAAAACTCATTTATCTATAGTGGTAAGCACACTCTCCCATTCATACCTAATAACCATCTCAAAGGAGTTAAATTTTCACCATCTACTTTTAGCAAGAAGATGAAAGGAAATACTAGTTTTTCAAATTACAGAGTTAGCCTAACAAGAAAATAGGTAAAATTTAACCAAAAGACACACTGATATTCCATCATTAATAAAAGTTCTACTTTTTATATAAATGCTCCCCAAGTTTATTTTTTTATACTGAGGCAGACACGCATCTTGATTCTGTTCACCCAATAACTGCTACTCTGACAGAAAGATGAAGCCCTTAGAGGCAGCACTCTAGGAAGATAACTCCTCCAGACTGGTTTTAGCAGTATTAGTATTGGTAAAGATACCCTTTTACCTTAACAGAAATTTAGGTTTGTAAAACCTAAATCATCAAAGTAAAAATTCCTTTTCAACTCAATCCTTATCGCCAAATGAGAGGGTGCTCCAACTTTATCAGGTTGGTAATGTAGGAGTGCACCATCTCTGAGTACAACACAATACTGATACATATTTATCAACACCAAAAGCTAAAATAATGACTCCTCACATTCCTTTTACTTTCACATCTTTAAAATTCTTTCCCTAATTAGAAACTGAGCTTCTCAAGTGGCGCTAGGAGTGAAGAACCCTCCTGTCAATGCAGGAGACGTAAGAGAGGAGGATTTGCTCCCTGGGTAGGGAAGATCTCTTGGAGGAGGGCATGGCAACCCACTTCAGTATTCTTGCCTGGAGAATCCCACGGCCAGAGGAGCCCGGAGGGCTACAGTTTATAGGGTCACAAAGAGTTGGACACAACTGAAGCAACTTGGCACACAATTAGAAATTAGGAGAGAACACAAACTAGTTCCCATTCCCAGGTTAAAAAAAAGACCAATCAATACCACAGACAGAGCCAAACATGTTCTAAAAAGAGAACCCTCTCATACAGACTTGAATACAACGGCTCTTTATCACTACAGAACACATTCAAAGGCTTTCTCTGTCACTTTGAGATATCAGAGATAACTCTTTACACCACCCATTTAAGACAACGCTCAAGACAATACCTGATTGAGCCACAGCACTACTGGCAACTTGAGGTTTCAGATCTGCTTCTAAGAGAGCAGAAGAAACAGTAACCACTGGTCCTGAGAATAGGGGACCTTTCAAGGTGAGCAATTGCCCTTGTGGAGTCATCACAATGTTGGCAGAGGTGTGTGGAGTATTAGAGGGTGAGGTATTTTCTGTAAAGAAGATCAGAAATTAGTTAAGGATAAAAGATCTTCAATTAATGCTAGTGTACAGCCTAGGAATGTAGGAGACTTGCCTAAAACCACACTCTGACTTAAAAAGCAAGACATTTCAAATTTGTTGGGGAAACTCAACTTGCAATTTACTTGTTGAACGATTTTTCAGTAATGGTTACCTGTCCACTGATTCTCTTAAGGGACAGAATTTTATTTTTGCTGAGGAACAGAGCTACGGAACCACTTTTTCAATGGAATGCTTCTGATGGTCTTGCTGGTAAAACAGGATGAAGATACACACTATTTTATCCCTAGGTATGCTTTCCTATAAACCTCTAAGAAACTGCTTCAAGTTTTTAGACCTCAGTTTTTCCATCTGTAAAATAAGGTAACTGGCCTAAATGGTCACTGAAGTCCTTACTTATTTAGCAATAACATCACTTGAATGTGCAATGTTAAAACTAACTCGTATTTTAGTATCCATCACCACCTTCTTAGCTGATATAACAAACCAGATTTCCTTGGTTCCTACACTTGGCTATCCAAAGAGTAAAAGAGTATATATATATCCATTCTCATCAGTATATATATATCCATTCTCAAAGGATATAAACAAGTAATGTAAAGTCAACACAGCCTCACCTTCAAAATCATATAGGACAGAGTAAGAAATCAAAACCAATTTACTTTGCTCCTGTATAGCAATTCACGGACAGACTGCAATCTGATTAAAAACAGCCTGGTTAACAAAAATAAACTCCTACCAGAAATAAGTCTTATATGTTACCATGATGGATAACTTATTAGGATCTGCTTGAGTCTGTAAAGCTAGAAAATGAAATCTAATGTGGTTAATATTCTGCTTTTAATACAACTCATCTTTCATCTAATTAAAACTAAAATTATGGCCAAGTTGTTCAGTTCTTTTAACTAAACTAAATGTTCATGTGCATCAAGGAAAGCAAAGAAATGTCCCTCCTACCTGTGGCCTGGTCTTTTTTTCTGGAAAGAATCAAAGGCTTCCCCTTCCTGTTATTTATAAACATCTGTCCTAGATCTACAGATGATGCAGAAGCTCCTTCCTGCTGTTTGCTAGTTCTGGGAGACACATCAAACTCATCTGATTCCATCTTCTTTTTCCTCTTTTGTGCCTCTAATGCTTGTTGTTTTGCATAAATATACTCTAGCTTCTTCAGGACCACTTCTTCTGTCTTACCTATAGGTTGAGAGGGAATAAACTGTCACTCTCTATAAGACCCCACACAATAATGAGAAATAGAGTCCAGTTGATTTAACTATATCCCCCAAAAACTATGGCAGTCAAGAGTAATTATAATCCAAAAATAAATGTCCCACCCAGTCAAAAGATAATTCTGATGTTAACTCTGGGAACCAAGACTTAAATGAAGTAGTGTTTGAAAAATCTACTAAGGATTTCCCTTACTAAAGCTATATTTATGGCCTTTACCAGAGATCATTCACCATTATCTCACCTGAAAGAGATGATACTTTCCGTATCAAAATATTCCGTTTGCGAGTCAGGAGATTCTTCTGTCCTATCAACTTGTCTGCCTGATCTGTTAGCCCCTGAATTTCACTGAATGCCTAGAAGAGAAATAGTAATATCATGTCCACCAATTTGCTTTTTCTGAAAAACAGGTGAGGTCTACACAAATTTGTTTAATAAAAACTTTTAAATCTAATATTTTAGAGAACTTTCTAATGTCATTTAAAACGATTTTTATTGTTTTACAAACTTATGGTTACCACTGGGGAAACAGGTAGGAGGTATAATAAACTGGAAGACTGATATACATGCTACTATATATAAAACAGATAACCAGTAAGAACCTACTATTTATAGCACAGGCAACCCTATTCAATACTCTGTAACTGGCCTGTACAGGAAAAGAATCTAAAATAGAGTGGATGCATGTGTATATATATATATATATATATATATATGTATGGGCTTCCCTGGTGGCTCAGTGGGTAAAGAATCTCTCTGCCAATGCAGGAGACACAGGTTGGATCTTGAGAAAGAGATGGCAACCCACTCCAGTATTCTTGCCTGGGAAATCCCCAGGCAGAGGAGCCTGGAGAGCTATAGTCCATGGCGTCACAAAGAGTCAGAAACAACTTAGGGACTAAACAACTACAATGTATAACTGGTTCACTAACACAGCTAACTAACTAACATACTAACATAACACTGTAAATCAACTATACTCTAATAAAAATTTAAATAATAAAGTATACAAGTGGAAAAAAAAGTCAATTCCAAAAAGGAGGATTTTCTGGCTTCTACTTCTAGGGAAAGTGATTATTTACGAAGAGCACCAATGAGTGGTATTTTCACTACTGCAAGGAGATACAAAACATTTTTTACTCTGCTTAGATTTCAATAATCAACTTTAAAATAAACTCCTAAGCAAAATCTGGTTGAAACCACCTTGTTCTAGAGGGATAAAATGCTTGCCTTATACTCTTCCAACCTTTAATTATAAGCAATTGAAACAAAATTACCTTAGCTATTATTCTACATGCAAAATTAAAACTTCTGCTAGCTTGAAAACTACAGTTTCCTTTAAAGTGACTGTCAACCATTAAGAAGTATGTCAAAATGGTAGTTGTCTTGTGTCTTTCACCATGACAAACTTTTCTAAGTGCTATGGAGAACAAGTTTACAGAAATTGTTGTAAACAGAGTTTATCAGTTTATAAAGTTTCTAACTTTATTTTAAAAATGAATAATTACCTCTGCTGGTTCAGAATCTTTCATTGAAAAGCAACTGATTGACCATAAGGATTTTCTTCCTAAGGGATTTACTGGACACTCACTAGTCCACATTCAAATGATAAACACAAGTTCTATTTCAACTTTCTTCCTTTTCCTTTTATGTATCTCAAGAAGATTCTTTTAGTCAAGCTCTTATTTGTCTGTCATTTACACAGACTTACCCTAGTAAGAATGAGACTTTTGGAAACCTTGGAAGAATGAAGTAACCCCAATGTGATCTTCAACTTCTCAAAGAGATCTCTCATTTCACCACGGCGGCGGCGTTCATTGGCAGTGTGTGTCCGGCGATAATACGCAAAAGCTTCTGCTTCTTTCTGTAGTTTTTCACTCCAATAATCAGGTTTTAGCTTTAGAGGAACTTGTGCAGCCTATCCAAACAAAAGATTGCCTCCTAAGTATCTTTCACATCTACCCACCCTCTTCCACACCAAATGGCACTGTTCTGTATCAGACACCAACCATCTTCTGCCTAGAGTATCCTAATAGCCTCTCAATTGGTCCTCTTACTACCAGTCTTTCTTTTCTCCAAATCAACAGTGTAAATTCTAAAACATGCTGATATGATATCACTTCTCAGCTCAAATTTCAACAGTTTTCAAATGAGGGATTGAGAGAGGGACTCTAAAAAGTTTATGTGTATAATTTATTATTGAGAGTTGCTTTTATGACACAAATTTCATGAAAAACTTGACTAGTGGAAAACAAGTTTAAAATTTTTTCTTAAATACTGGAAGACCCTTTACAATTTGGGAAAGGATCAACTGCCACTCTTCCTAAATCACTGTTGTCTCCAACCACTCCAAAGTGCTGTAAATTTCCTAAGCACTCTATAATCCCACACCTCCCTGTCATTACACAGGTTGTTGCCTGCATCTATCCCTTTCCACCCTCCTTTATGACTTAACAATTAAAATGTAAACTTTTGCATTTTTCAGGAAAGTCTTCCTTAACTCTCAGGATGCCTTAGGCTTCCTTTCTCTCTTGTTTATTCTATTTTTAAATCATTTAAAGTAGTAGTAGATGCATACAGGGTTTAAAATATAAAAATGTAAAGAGCTTATAATGAAAAGCAACTGTGCCTTGCACCTATACCTGGATCCTCAGAAACAACCACTTTTATTCTTTGAGTTGCTTTTTCTGCTTAAGTCTATATCCTAAGTTAAAAATGATATTTTTAACTATTTACTTCCTGCTATGCAGAAAAGAATTCAGTTCACCACTCTCTTGCATCTCACCATCCCATCTTCCTAATACAGATAAATCATTTAGTTCTTCTATTGATCCCTTTGCAACTAGAATATAATTCTATCTCCATTTCTCATTTCATCCACAATAGACTGTCTCTGTAAGATGAGGGTATCAGTACTCATATCCTTTATTTCTTCTTCCCACTTTTATAAACCTCCCAATCTGTAATTTGTACTTACACATTTTTCAAAATTGAAATTCTTCCACAGTGTTAGTAAGGATAAAGAGAAAATCTTGCTTAATCATGGTACCATGATATCCTACACAATATATTAACAAAATCAAAGAAAATGTATAATCTCATGGCTCCCTGGATTGCCAGCCATTATTTCAGATAACAAGTAATTTCTCAGGTCACTGGAAAAATCAGGAGTCTAGATAAGAAAGAATGCTAGCCTATTTCACATCATTACATTATACAATTAGTTTTCAAATAAGCAAATCAAGTTTCACAAATTCCATGCCCATTTTAATTCCTCTAAATTATTCTATCAACTAGGTGGCGGGGGGGGGGGGGTGCATGACGGGGAGAATTAGGAAAAAAAAACAGTAGTAGTATAATTTCATTAAGGGGGGCAAAAAAGCTGATTATATTAACTCATTGGTAAAAACAGCCCTGAAAAGTCATAATTAATATAACTAATGTTGTTTTACCTGCAAGGACAAATGTTATCAATTTTATTAAATGAGCAATTATCATTAAATATACTGTAAATACCTTTCGACTCCTTTCAGTAGCTTTTTCATCTGCAGAGACAGGCATACGGCACCTAAATAAAGACAGTATTTTCCAAAGTCTTATTGAAATTCAGTAATCTAAGAGCTATTTCAAATCTATATAAAGCCAAACCATCCCTAATTGTCTAAACTGTGACTGGCTTCTTTTCCCATATTTCCATTTGTGGCAATATGATTTATTCAACAATACCTTTTTTTCTCAAAGTCTCCAAAAAAAACCCTAAAACTGCAAATTACGTTTTTCAATTGTGAAACATTTCAAACATATAAAACTGTACAAACAAAATACATAATCAACATCCAGGTATCTGTCATTCAGCCTAAGAAATAAAATATCTCCAAAATATGGGCACATTCATCACCTTCCTTCCTTCTCATGTAGTTTTACTAGGAATGTACTGATTCATCTTTAAAAAGAAAATATTGTGTAGCATTTTAAACTTTCTTTAAATGTGTATGTAATGTGTATCTTTCTTCAACTGATTTGTTTCATTCAACATTACATATGAGGTATGTTAATACTTGTAGTTTGATCATTTTACTGCTCTATAGTATTCCGAAGTGTGACTTCTCTAAATTTTATTTTTTTAGTATGTTAATGGTTATTTACGTTGCATCCAAATTTTCACAATGGCAAATGCTGGAATGGACAACCCCACACATGACCCCTTGTACATGTGTGTGAACCCTTCTAGGAGTTCTAGATCTATATCTAGGAGTGGAACTGATGGATGGAAGAAATGCATGCACATCTTCAACTGTAGTCACATCACACTGCTACCCAAAGAGGTAATAATAACTCATACTCCTACCCCACCTGTAGTATGTTCCCACTGTTCCACAACTAGACAATAATACTTCAGAAATCTCAATTTATCCAAACTTATGGGTATAAATTCGTAAAGTCATTGTGGTTTAATCTGCATTTCCCTAATTACTTGTGAGGGGGGAACAAATTTATGTATGTTTATTGGCAGTCCAGGTTTCCTCTTCTGTGATTTGCCCACGATATCCATTACTTATTTTTCTATTGGATCATACTGTTCTTCCCTATCTCTTTAAAATTTACTTAATTTTATTTATTTATTTCTGGCTGTGCTGGGTCTTCACTGCCGCACAGGCTTTTCTCTAGTTGCAGGGAGCAGGGGCTACTCTAGTTGTGTGGTGTGCAGGCTTCTCACTGCAGTGGCTTCTCTTGCAGTGAAGCTCGAGGCTTCACACAGGCTCTCGGGCATGGGCTCCAATGCCTGCGGTACATGGGCTCAGCAGCTGTACCTCCCGCACTCTAGAGCACAGGCTTGACAGTAGTGGCCCACAGGCTTAGCTGCTCCGAGGCATGTGGGATCTTCCTGGATTAGGAATCAAACCCATGTTGCCAGCATTGGCAGGCAGATTTTTTTAACCAGCGGGGAAGCCCATGGATCACCATTTTCTTACTGACTTGTAAGAATTATTTTATATCCTTGATACTAATCCTCTAACACATATTGCAAATATTTTCCTTACAGTCTGAAATCGCCTTTTTACTGACAAATTGTTAACAATTTGTTCCTTTACAGTTTGTGCTCTTTAAGTGTTGATTATTTCCTGGTCCTTTATTATTCCAGTCCATAAAGAGGTAATCTGTTTACTGAAATCTTCGTCAATGTTTTTTTTTCCTTCAATTTTTTTCAATGTCTTTCAATAACATTTTATAAAAGTCTCGCACAACTTCTATCAAAAATCCCAAACAGCTTTTTTGTATTTTTAATTATATTTTGTTTGTTGCTATTGTTTTAGAACTCAATTTTAGCATACTGAACTTACATCCTGCAATATTACTGAACTTAAGTCTAATTAAGTTTTTAAGAAATTTAAATTCTTCCAATCATAACCAGCAGGCAACTGAGGTGTTTGTGTGTGCTCGCTCAGTCATGTTCAACTCTTTGCAACACCATGGGTTGTGGCCTGCCAGGCTCCTCTAGCCATGGTTTTCTCCAGGCAAGAATACTGGAGTGGGGTGCAATTTCTTACTCCAGGAGATCTTTCCACCCCAGGGACCGAACCTGTGTCGCTTGCATTGGCAGGCAGGTTCTTTACCACTAGCACTAACTGGGAAGTCCAGGTAATTGAAGGACCCTCCTAATAGCCCTGGAGTGAAGAAAAATACCACCATATCCCTACCTTCGACTTTCTCACTAGGAATGAAGAATCACTCTTTTTCAACTCATTGCTAATTTAGGTAGCTGATGATATAATAGCTTGAAAAGCACAATGTCTGGCACAAAATAACTCTTACCTTCTTTCTCTCATACCCCAATTCCTAATCAATATAAGGTTTATTAAAGCATAACATTTTCTCCTAAGTCATCTTATCATTCTCTCTGTATTTTCATCTCATCAGCTGAACAGGCAGGAAAATGTTTCTAACCGTACCTCACCTGTTCAACTAGCAAAGTAACCAAATTTAGAATTTACAGTCATATCCTTAAAAGATAAAGAACTTTATTGAGTAGTCCACGTATCAGTTATGCTAGTTATTTCATATATTATCTGATTTAATCCCTTAAAAAAGGACATTTTACTCATTTCTTAGGTAAAGAAGCTAAGATTCAGAGAGATTACACATTTGCCCAAGGTTAAATAGCTACAAACTAGCAAAACTAGTATTTTAATGCCAATGTATCAGGCTCAGAAAGCATGTTATTCACATTTATATACTGTTTCCTAGCAATAACAAGGAAGTTAATTACCTCTGAATTTCAGCTCCTTTCCTCATCTACTAATAAGAAAAAAAGCTAGAGAAATAAAGGAACTACGTCAGTTACCCAGAACTCTTAACTAGAACAGTCAGTTTTGCTTATGGTCACAAAACTACAACAAAAAACAACAATCCAAAGAAAAATAAGACTTACGGCTGTTTCAAAATCTCTGTATGGACAGCTGTGCTCTTCATGTGGGCAACATTAATTTCCTCGGGGAGCTCTTCTACAGTCTCAATGTCCACTTGTTCTTCATCATCCTCAATGTATTCTATACAGTTATTCTGAAATACAGCAGTCCAACAGTAAATAAAGCATTGGGAAGCAAGCACAGCTAAATTTTTCAACTGACTGTTTCCCTTATAAAGCCAACCAGTGCCAAACATTGATCTTTTTTTTTTTTCTCAAACACTGATCTTAAACCATGAGTACTGCTAACCCTAAACCTGTTAATCTTAAAATGGAATTAAGTCATATAGACAGCATATGGTTAGGGCTAACAACCAAGAACTACATTATAAGTCACAGATATACTGAGTTGGCCAAAAAAGTTTGTTCAGGTTTCTCCACAAGATGGTATAGAAAAACCTGAACAAACTTTTTTGACAACCCAACATGAGACATGATTAGACTAAAGAGACAAGAGTCTCCAAAGGGCTGTGTTGATGCTTCAATATTACTGCAAGTGGACAAATTCAAGTACAGATATATTAAAGCTGCATAAATCTAAAGATTAAATAGCAATCAAATAAAACATGGTGAGGGAGAAGGTAGAAAGCAGAAAAACTCAAGTTCTAGTGTAAAAGTGCCTCATGGTTAACCCCATATTAAACACCCACAAAAACACATTCAAGGCAGATATGGAAACAGAATATAGCCCAATCTTCTAAGTATCTCAATCCCACAGAATGAGAGCTTTTGAAGAATTTCAGATACCAAAAGCAGCCCAGGCTTGCTGTACTGCTTATTATACCAAAAGATGAGTCATTCGGTAAGCATTTATTGAGCACCTACCAAAGAAACTCACAACAGAGGACTATATGAGGGGCTTCTCAGGTGGCACTAGTGGTAAAGAACCTATCTGCCAATGCAGGAGATGTAAGAGATATGGGTTCAATCCCTGTGTCGGGAAGATCCCCTGGAGGAGGGGAAGGCAACCCACTCCAGTATTCTTGCCTGGAAAATCCCATGGACAGAGGAGCCTGGTGGGCTATGGTCCATAGGGTCACTAAGAATCAGACACAACTGAAGTAACTTAGCATGCACACAAACTATATGGATTATGGGCTACGCAGTTAGAATTTCTAAGTCTGCCTTTAAAAATAGTGTTTATTATGCCAGAAACTAAACAGACTATATGTCATCTATAACTGTACTGTACCAAAGCAGCACAACTCAAAATGAAGCATCCCTATCACTTTATTAGTTCTATTTTAATCTCACCGGAAAAATTACTTACTCCCAAATTACAGGCTCCCTAAGGCTAACAGACATAAATGACTCAAGTCATCATTTATGATCCCCATTTATGATCCCCAATTTAATCATCACCTAAATACTGTGTATTAATCAATGCATATTAAAATTAACTTTGGGAATCTAAACCAACAGAACCCCAAAAGTTTGAATACTAATGTAGGCAGATGCTTTATAATATTTAAATGGAAGAATATGTATTACATGGCTTTAATTGGAGGCTTTGTAAATAACATCCAATTAACTTAATCAGGGAAGATTTAAATTAAAAGGGCTACTCACAACTTTCCTTACACTATTCCAACATAATGCTTAATACAGGCATAAAGCATAGGTGTCAAACATATACATAATACAATGTAGAATTTAAATTTGAATGCCCTTACTTTAAAATGGCCAGTGTCATGGCTAATTCATTTCAATGTATGACAAAAACCACTGCAATGATGTAAAGTAATTAGCCTCCAACTAATAAAAATAAATGAAAAAAATAAATAAATAAATAAATAAAATGGCCAGTGTACCTGTCAGATTTCCCATTTGGAAGTTCAAGCAATGCTACTCTGTATGACTAAGACACTCTAAAGGTTCCATTAAGTCAGTTCTACTGAGCAATAGTTTTCAATGACTTTAAAGCAGGACTGTTTGTGACTTGTGGTTGCCAAGGGGGAGGAGTGGTGAGTAAGGGATGGACTGGATGCAAACTATTATATATAGAATGGATAAACAATAAAATCCTACTGTATGGTACATGGAACTATATTCAATATCCTGTAATAAACCATAATAGAAAAAAATTTTAATTAAAATAAAGCTGGACTGTTTTTGGTCTGATGCTTACCTAGGCTGACTTATGAGACTGCAAAAAGTGCAACAAGATTGGCAATCTAACTCCTTTAAACAACCTACAGATCTAAGTCCTCAAAAAGATGAGGTTATAGATAGAACGCGAGGCAAATGCATATAGAATTATCCATCTCATTTACAAATGAGACACGTGAGGTTCAGAAATAATGACACAGAAATATTTCAATATGTAGACATTTTAGTTTTAAAATATAAAATATTTTATAGCAAAACCTTTTTGCTATATTTTATCTGTCTAAGACAGTTAGGCATTAACAAAGAAGGACCAGGTAACACAGAGAACAAATGAATCTCAAAAGGAGTGAGATTCTAAAACTGCCATGCAAGACAATCATTGCAAAGGGCCATATTATCTGCTCCTGAAGAGAGGGATACCCCACAGGCAGATGGCTATAACCTCCTTATGTTTTACACCAGGGGAAGGGGACAGCACACCACAGCCTCCCATTTGTTTCTGTAACTGAGGTTTTTGCTGGAACACAGCCACACTCATTCACTTACTACTGTTTATGGCTGCTTTCCCTCCACAGCAGCAACTGAGTAGATGCAAAAGCAAGTCACCTAGCCTGCAGAGTCTAAAATATCTACAAACTGGCCCTTTACAAAAAAGTTTGCCCAACTCCTGCCCTATATCATGCTGATGCTCAATTACTTAGTTCAGCAAATAACAACTCTACACAGAAGTCTATAAAAATGGCTTCGGCAAAATAAAAAAATAAAAATAAATTATAAAGGTCAAATTACAAAGGAAGATGACCAGAGGTTAGAATATAAATTCTAGACACTAATTATTTAATTTTAGGACATGGTTAGAAAGCAACTTTAGGCAGGGTGATAATAAAATATTAAATGATGCTTTTCATTTCTCTCCAAAACAAAGAACATCTCTACAAATGCTGATAGACAAATTATCTTCCAGTTCTAAGGCCACCCATTCCCTGTTTCTTATATATATCTACCAGATAAGCTACAACAACTTTGCATAAAGAATATGAAAAAAAAAAACCGAGATCAAATGGGAGTAGTGATTTCAGAATTTAAAAAAAAAAACAAACCTAATTTGATAGGGACTCTCAAAGCATCTATTCCCCCAAGGCTTAAACCAGCCTTCCTGTATAATATCAAACAAGTCTCAAAACACAATATAAGCTCAATAAATGTTACCTGACTGACACAGCCTAACAACTACAAAGTCATTTAACCATGATTTAAACCTAGGCATCCAACTGAATGTATCAGGTCTTAGTTATCTTCTGGAAAAACTACTGTCTCTAATGAATCATTTAAATTCTTGAGGTTTCAGTCACAACAAAAATGGGCTCACCACCTTTTCTACATCATCAACCTCCTCACTCTGGTAGTCAGAAACAACATCCACAATCTCATCAATAGAATCATCGGTTTTCTCATTCTCATCTTCTTCGTCATCCTCTTCCAACTCCAAAACAGTGAAGTCAGTACTGCTTCTCCCACCCGTCTTCTCTTGCTTTGGTTTTATCTGTTCTCCTGAGAGCAGTAAGTGACCTTGAAAATGTCCGTCCCCTCTGCTCCCTTTGGCAGCTCTCCTAGGGACAATGGAGAAGGTTGTAGGACTAGAAATCCTACTCCAAGAATCACATTCAGTTTTTAAAATTCTGGCATTCTCAGTAGTTCCACTTTTTCCAAGTAAATCAGAGGTACTGTGTTCTTGTTGAAACACATCTGAATTTTCCTTACAAGTTTTTGTTTCTTTAATTAACTGCTCATTTGTCTCGTTCTTGCCTTCTTGTGAAGTTCTAACATATTTCTGGGCCAAAGGGCCCTTTAGGTGTTTTCTCCACCTCTCCCTAATGCCGTCCTTCTCCAGAGACTCTCCACACCCCTTCTCCTTGGCCTCTGGCTTTGGATTAGATTGCTGCTCCACAACTCTACTGCCTGAAAATTCAACTTTGCTTTCTTCTTTAGAGATAATTGGAAATTCATTTGATTTTTCCTCTGGATTGTCTAAGCCTTTCTGCTGTTCCACTTTCACATCACCAGGTTTTTTAAGTTGCACATTATTCACACTTTGGACTGTCATGTTACTGGCTCTTCCAGAAATGGTCTTAACTTCTAGAACAGTCAGTTTTTCTTTGGAACTGTTATGGTTCCTAATCCCATATTCTTCCTCAACATCTTTATAGTCTTCACCTGTGTGTGAGCCAGTGCTACAGACATGCTCAGAAGGTTTAACAGCTGATGGCCCTTCTTCTATAAGGGATTCTTCATCTAAATGATCACCCCCATCTTCCAAGGAATCATTCAGAGTTTCTTCTGAGACAGCAGCTCCTGGGTTTTGTTTTATTATATTAGTCTCAGGCTCTACAGCTTCTCCTCCTGACTGCAGACCCTTCTTAGTTTCTTGCTCTCTTTTTAAAAAGCTTGTTTCATCTTTCTGGTCTGCACTCTGAGATTCTCTTTTCATCTGAAGTGAAGCAACATGTTGAAGAATGGAGCTGGGAACAGGTTTTTGTCCTGGGAGCTGCAACAAGGCAAAACTACCAGACTGGAGAGGAATAAGACTGGCTGTACCAAGAGGCTGCCCTCCTGAACTATAGGTTAGTTTGGTTTCAGAGGCTGTTTTACTTGTGAAACTTTGTGGTTCAGGAGGGGAAATCCTCAGAGTCAATGTACCAGACTGAGACACAAAATTATGTCCAGAAGAAAGCAATGATGGTGCCTGAGTGATAACATTCATTGCTGGAGAAGATCCAACAGCCTGAATTACAGGATTCACAACGGAGAAAGCAGAGGGTGAAGCCGAAGAAGGTGGAGTCTCTGAAGGTTTGGAAGGAGTGGGTAAACGGATTCCCATCACAGACCCTGGTGAGGGGAAAAAAAAGCATTTTAAATCACCATTGCCCACATCAAAGACTTTCAAAGTACATATTTTTTTTCCTAACAGGTGATTTCAAGAGACTGATAAGACCAATCCTGGTATATTAATATACCATATGACCAAATGATTCAAGAAAAGAGAAACTTATCAAAAATATCTCTAACTTTATACCTGGGTTCCGAAACATGACAGGCTGTAAGTTGGGCTGGTTATTAGATCCTCGAAGCTGATGCAAAGGGAGAAGCTGGACAATCTGCCCATTAGGGTGCCTGAATAAGTTCATTCCACTTGGACTCCTAACAGGCTGCAAGACCATCCGATGTCCCTGAAGTTGTGTGTTTGGGACAGGTCTAAGAGTAGGAGAACCCTGCTGCACTGGAATCAACAACAATCGAGGTCCAGCACGTTTCACTGTGTTAGGAGAGACCTGTGGAGGAGCCACTGGAATCTGAGGGGCATTTTCTGAAAAACAGGAAATGGAAACATAGTATCAGAATTTCCCTTTAATACTTGGGAAAAAATAATTATGACAAAGAATCTAACCATGTTACAAATAAGTACAAGTTTAAATTACAGAGCTGGCAAAACTCTGTATGTCCATGATATATGACTTACAGGACTTATGGCTGAGAACAATTTACTTTAAACTTAAGTATTAACCAGACTTTACAGGGCCTTACATTTAGACAGGTAAAAAAAGAAAGTATCAACTGTAAAGAGGTGCATTTAAAGAGATAATACTTCTGCCTAATGAAAGAACATGGGCAGGCCTCTAAACCTGGATCTCATTAAAGTTCAAGTAAATGTTCTGTTCAACTTAAAAATTCAGGCTGTCAACACTTAACAGGCTTATGACTTAGTTTAACAGGTCTTACTCAAGGAAGACAAAATCAAAGACTAAAAATCACAAGGTACCAAAAAACCTCTTGACCTTTAAGTTCACTGATGAATAAGCAAAGCATACAGATTTGTGAAAATTATTTTTCAGAAGGAAAAAACACACATATCCCCCCCAAATGGAATGAAATTAAGAGACATCAAAGAAGCGGGGAAATAAAGCCTGGTTAAGAAGAGGCAGAAATTTAATGCAGAAGATGTGAATTAAGAGAGTTCAAAACATTAATAGTGCCGAAAGATGCACCTCAATGTCTGGAAGAAAACACCAAGGATATGGGAAAAAACAGTATGTGTTTTTGGTCACAGGAATAAACAAGTAGGAATAACGATAATAGTAAGCATAAATGAAAGTGATCTAATATTACCATTCAAATTACTGAACTTCTTTAATATTATTTTCAATTACTCTTTTTTTGACATTTCTAAATAAAAATTTTCATCAGTTTGTCACTAAACAGAAAAATTAACAAGCCAAACAAAACAAAGATTTTAATATGTAATATGCACTTTGCCCAAAAAAGGTATCAAATTTCTAAAAGAAAGTGACACTCCGTAACATTTACATGCCAAATTACTATAGAAGATCCATGATTACTTTTGAAAAAGAAATAACACAAGACCAAACTGATAAAAAAAAAAGTGTGCAACTTTTTAAACAAACAAAAAAAAAAATCATCTATCTTATGTGATTAAGAAACATGTTAAAGCATTCTTAATTTCTTGAAAATTTCTACTCAAATTGTTTTACAGAATGATTCAAAACCAAATTACTCCAAAGCAGCCTTTAACATACATACTAAGTAAGTGATTACTTATTGCACTGTATGAGGGGAAGAAGGGAAAGACAAAGGATGAAAAGTCAAATCAAAGTCAGAGGTCTAAATCCCTGAGCTGAGATCCACTTTATGAACCTGTAACAAAATCACATACTTTCTTAGAAGTTGGCAGTGATGCGAGTCAGCTCCATTTATAGAAGACCAGATAAGAAAATATGCAACTAGCATTTTCCTCAAGTAATATTACATAAGATACTTTTAGGTAGTATGTCTTAGAGAATAACACCATGTTAAACTGTCAGAATTTTAATCTTTGATTAAATACAGAAGAAATTATGTCTCTGATATTACATCTTTAATATTAAAATTAAAAAAAGACTATGCAAGTATTTTCTAACTTCCTTCATTAACAGAGAGCAGGTCACATGTTAAAAACACACAGGAGCTGGCTAGTATTTGATACTTTTTATTATTATTGGTTCAGTTTATTTATTTAAGAGACTACCCTCCATTCTGGCAAATAATGTTGGTTTCCAATTACGGTAATATTGCTCCTTTTAAAAGTATATTTAAGTGAACGAACGACTTGATTTAAATAAAAATAGTAAATCAATTATATGAGAGTATAAATGGGAATCAGAGGGAAATACCTGAACGTATGTTCTGAGTGACTGAAATCTGAGAGAAAATGAACTACAAAAGGTAAACAACTTCAGTTTCATGACATAATTAAAAATATAAAGAAAGGTTACAATACATGATTTAGAAGACGTGACCAGTTAAAATATGACAAGATGTGAACTGTGAGTTTCAAAAGAAAATAAAAAAGGCTTCATCAACAACAATCTTACTTTTGAAATATTATTATTAGCCATTTTTTGGTATGTGTGTTAACAGGAAGTAACAAAAGACAACAAAATTGACACTGTCATCCACTTTTCCTTTCAATAGCACTTCAATTTACAAATCCCTTCTTTCCTAAAATATCTAGAGGGATTTAAACTATGCCCCTGAAGACAAAAATATTTAGTAGGAAAACTATCAATAACCAAGACAGAACTGTTGTCAGTTATTTTATTCCCCCTTATATCCTGTAGGGGCTTCCCTGGTGGCTCAGATGGTAAAGAATCTACCTGCAATGCAGAAGACCCGGCTTCAATCTCTGGGTCAGGAAGATCCTCTGGACAAGGGAACGGCAACCCACTCTAGTACACTTGCCTGGAGAAGTCCATGGACAGAGGAGCCTCGTCAGCTACAGTCCACAGGGTCACAAAGAGTTGGCCACAACTAAGCAACTAACACACACACTATATCCTGCAAAGCCTCGTCTCTCACACTCCTTTCCATACTAATTCTTCTTTGAGTCTACTAAGGTAACAACTTACTTAAGCTGGTTGAATTAGGATATAAAAGTGACCAAAGTGTGAAATATTTCTATTTCAAATTCACTTAAACTAAGCCAACAAGAGAAAAAATTTAATCTTAACTAAAAAGTTGACATGTAAAATATCAGAGTCCTAAACAAATATGCTTCCTTATTTCTATTTCGATTACGATAATGTCAATAGTAATATAGGAGTTGGGCTGATTCACAAATGATGTTTACTAGGCAAGAGGACCTTAAGCAAGGAGAGAAAAGGCCCTCAGCTTGGCTGCAACATAAGCAGAAGCCCTCTGATCTTTCCTTTTTAAATATAAAGCAGCAGCCCTCCCACTCCCAAAACAGGGCACACCTACATTTGGTTCCCTCAGAGATGTGAGCCCTTAGCTCTCAACACACAAGAGCTGCACTTCCTGCTGCACCCACTTTAATGGCTGCTCTACTGGCTCAGACTTACACTCCCATATGAAGCATTTCCATTCTAATGCTTTTGAATATTTTTAATTTCCTGAGAAAATCTCTAGCCCCACTAAACGATCTGTTAAGGCTGTTTATCTGGAAGGTAACAAGTTTTTATTAGCATTCTGGGGCTTCCCTGGTGGCTCACTGTAAAGAATCTGCCTTCAATGCAGGAGACCTGGGTTCAATACCTGGGTTGGGAAGATCCCCTAGAGGAGGAAACAACTACACTCCAGTATTTTTGCCTAGAGAATTCCATGGACAGAGGAACCTGGCAGGCTAGAGTCCGTGGGGTCACTAACAGTCAGACATGACTGAGCGACTTTCACTCACTCACTGGTTACAAAATTGCACAGATGTTCACTGATTGTCCTAACCCTGTATTTACCATGATGTCCATTAGTTTTAGTGTTCAGTTTTGCAGAATGTAAAGTGTTTTTTTTTCCTGTTATAGCAGAAACACTTGATATATACCTATAATTCTATCAGAACCACAAAGTTACATAACCAGCTATAAAGTAAACCAGCTTGTAACATCTAGGCCTTACCTGGTCTCTGGCTCACTGGTGGACTCCCATCAATTCCCGAGAGTATAATGGGAACAGAGCTCTGAGATGAAGTTGGTGTGGTCACCATGGAAGAAGATGCAGCTGTGGTCACCACGACTATGGAGGTGGAGGCAGTGGAAGCAACAGGAAGAGTTATGGTTGGAGGAGATGCTACCAAAGACTTAGGAAAAGCAACTGAAGCCACAGGGGTAGTTATCCCAGTCGTTTTGATAAGGTTCAAAGTGGCTGTAGACTGGGTAAGTGTTACAAGGGTGCTGGTATTAGTTTCAGTGACCTCAACAACCCCTGCAGTGGTGGCACCAGAAGAGTAAGTAGTTTCTTTAGTTCCCACGTCAGACAGAGCAGTCGTAGGTATCACAGCAGGAACATTTTCTAAAAACACTTGAGGGGTGGTAGTAGTGACAGCAGCAGTCACAGAGCTGCACACCTGAACTGGCTCAGAAGAAACCACAGGTGTGACGACCATTACTGGAGAAGGTCTGATACTGAACTTCTGTGGCCCTGTTAGGGGTTGGGGTGTGCTAACTCCAGGGATCTTCTGCTGCAGGGCTCCAACTTTACTCATCACAAACTGTGTGAACACACCACCAGGAGAGGGTCGAGCCGCTGCAAATAAAAATTTGCAGGTCAAAAATCTTCAGTTCTCATATTTCATCCTTGTAGTGATTGTGTTTATCAACATTTACTGTGCACCACTGGGTCTATTTCTTACAGGTACTACCTACCTGTAGTCAAACATACCTGTCCACCCAAACCTAACTTTCAAAATTCTAACAACTAAAGGGAATAAAATTGGACGTTCCTTCTGAAATTCCTTTGGTTACGCAATACAGTCAAACTGCCAGAACACTAAAAAGACTGTATAGCACAGCAGCACGCAACTTCATCATCTAAAACAGAGGAAGAAAATAAGGAAATTGTATTCCTAATTCTAATTTTAAAATTTGTTTGCACCACTTCCTTTTGTCACAGCACCTCTACCTCTTTATTGCTGTCCTTTTACAAGACAGTAAAGTTTTGCATTTTAGAAATATGCAAAAAGACATTTCAGAAGAGGGCAGGATAAGACAATCTTTTCTTTTTTTTTTTAAATCACCAGTTAAAGCTACCTTTTTAACAAGAGGTAGAAAGAGTTCTTTTTAAGGCAATGCCTATACTCCATCTTCACACAACTCCAGCATTTAGCCAGAGATTTCAATTTCCTATTAAGAGGAATAAAAACACAGCAAACATTTTTACTTAACATTTCTAAACAGATATGAAAAAACAAAAAGAGGACTCCAATAAAATCAACTGTATATACTATCAATTCTAAAACACAAATGATTTCAAGGAGGCAATTTATTACAGACTCTGAGATGTTAAATAAATTAGGTTTTTACTCACAGAACAGGGATAAATATAATAAAGCAATGTTCCCAGAATTATGTTTTACAAGAGTCTTCTACTCTAAGTCTATACTAACTCAATGCATTTTGATTTTGCTAGCTCCTTGGTTTCATAAATTCGAGGAACACACATACGATTGGTTACCAAAAACACCAGTCCTCATTGGAGAAAACAGTAAATTAGGGAAAGTACTTAGGAATATGTATTCCCTTCTGCAAAACAAAATTAAAAAGCTAAGTCTTTTCTACGTTGACAAAACCAGTATAAAAGTCTGGTAAATAACTATAAAACTAACTATAATTCAATTTATTTAGTTTTGTAGGTCATCAGAAGAGTTACTAAAAAATTAGTTAAATTCAGGCAAGATAAACATCAAGGAAAAAAAGTGCCAACTTCTATATTTCTCTAATTTTACAACCTCCATATCTGTATCCACTGGCCCAGCACCAAGTCACAACCCTTCCAAAAACATGTAAACAGTCCAACTTACCAATTGGTCTTTTCGCCGGGACAAACGCCTTCAGATTCTTCCCAGGGCGATTTGTTGTAGTGCCAGAAGATGATGCCGTTTTGGAATTGGATGTTGAAGGCAACAGGGTACGTGGTTTCCTGGATGCAGCCACCTTGGCATTGGATGCTACCTTGGAGATGACAGTACTGAGGGTTGAGAGGTCCAGGACTGAGGGTCGCAACCTGCCTGTGATATAAGCAGCTAGCCTATTGGCTGGATGCAATGCCCCCATCTGTCCCAATAGCAACTTAGCCTGCGGGTAACTCTTACCATTAACCTGAAACAAGTGGCAAAGAGAAATTCTGTAAAGATAAAATTCTCTTGCTAACTCATCTCCCTTGACAAGGGTTTCATTTTTACAAGATTTTAAAAGTCTATTTTTCAGATTTAAAGGGAAAAAGAAATGGACTTTTCCCATTTGGCATAATCTGAGTATTTAGGAGATGAAAAAAAATGCTGCCATCTGATATTCTCAACTAACCTCATCTCCTTCATTTTGGAAGTTTAAAAACAGAATCTTAGAAACTCATCATACCTGCATTCTAGATTTGTGGAAGATACAGTCAAATCTAAGGAATCATCCAACTGATTTACTTGTCAATAAGCAATTATGGTTGAGCTATTAATAATCATCAGCATAAAAATGAATAACTGTGTTCCACAGAATCTCTCTGATGAGACCAGAGGCATAATGAAGCTTTCTCACAAGGGTCCTTCATTTTTGAAAAATATATGGAAGTCTGCTTTAAGTTATGAGAAAGTCACTGTTACAAATACCTAAGCGACAAAGTCACCTTAGTTTTCAGTTTTCAAAAAGGTCAATTTTGAAGACAATTGTCTTCATCTTTTGCACAAAACCTGGACTCAAATGCTGGTTGAAATTTATTGTAGTTTTTTTTAAGTTGCCACTAAATTGTCAGAAGAAAGTGAATCAATGAATGAGGTAAAGATTTTTCTCTATTGCCTGAGTTGACAGACTGCCCATCTTACACAGGAGAATCATTTTAAAAAGAAAACAAAACTTCCCAAGTTTCTCACCTAAGTTCTCTATGTCTTATTGCTAAATGACTATAGAAGAAATCTTTTTCCATCTCTCTTTTCCATCACTTAAAGGGGGTGAGGAAGTGGAGTAAGGCAGAGAAAATCCTACTCTCTAAATTAATACAGAACTGGTAAGGAGAATAGCTACACCAAGCTACTCCCTCTTTTAAGACACAAAATTACTCTTTTACTTAGGGAAAATTGTTATTTCCAGACAGATCAGATATCTATTTGCCCTGAGTTTCAGCCAAAGAATATGATCTTTCCATCCTGGAATAAACTTTCCTACACAGTTTTCCAGGCTCTATGGAGTCTGGATCAGATACTCCTGTCTTCTCCTTTGGGACTTGCTCTGAAGACTATTCAGCAGCTTTCCCAAAGCATACCTTACAGTGGCCTGACTGCTATGCAGGTTCATATTTTATGGGGGCATTCTGAGTCCTAGACAGGAGAACACAAAATTTCTATAACTGTATTTGAAGGGGGCCTAGTCTCACTAAAATAGCAGGTAAGTTGCTGTTCTCAAAGCATCAATCAGTAAATGAAACAAGGAGAAAACACTCCCATCATTAAGAGTTTAAGAAATATCAACAGAAGCAGTTATATAGTAACTGCAGTAGAAAGTTTTTAATTAAGTAGATCAGTTATAATGGTGACACAGTCCTTAACCCAGAGAAGCAGTTGAGCTAGTAAAGTCAAGTAACCTTAACAGTAATGTCAGACATGACCCCACATTTGGTACTCTGATATAAAAGTGCATTTACTGTCACCAAACAAAAGGAGAAACTCTTTTGGACCTATAACTACATTTTACCTCAGAACTTCCCTTCAAAAAGATTTTTTACATGCCAGTGTAATTTTACTAATATATCTGCCTGAAGTACTAAATAGCAAGGATATATATATTTGACCTATAACAAAGATTAGACTGGCAAGAACTCTATGACAAATAAAGATAAAATATGTAAACTGTGGCTCAATTTTTTAAAAATTTATGTATTTGAATAACATCTTCCTAAATTTAAATTTTCTCCCAAGTTTTCAAACATATACTGCTTATCTTAAAAATTAATTTCACTTCATTTTATTTTAAAAGTTATCTGCTAATAATAATCCCAAGAAATAGACTGAATCCCTTACTATTCTTGCTTGACTGTCAAAATATCACTATAGCCTAGGTAGAAGAGCTTAAGGGCAACTTTCTAGGAAGGCTAGAAAGAAAACTATAAGCTAATACAGGGCTCTACCTTTCTGTTTGTAAATATGCCAAAAATTCACCATAGGTATGCATCTAACCTAGGCCTATTACAAAAAGAGATGACGATTTTGTCACCCAGTTCCCAGGGAATGCAAAGATAAATAATGTAAGGCCCACAACGGGCTCTGAAAAATCAAGGTGGTACCTAAGTATAAAAAAGTGCTACATCCAGATTAAAGATAATTCTCACCTGGATAAGCCCAGATGTGCTTGAACTGGGTTTACGTTTATAGGCCACAAGCTTCCCTGCAGGAGAAAGCCCTGCATAAAAGGGCAGACCTTTGCCTCCATGTAATCTCTCCCTCACTGAATCCAGGGCATCTGTCTGCACGGGAGAGACATCATCCATTTTCCCAGGGGATAATGGACCGTCAGGAGTCTCTGATCCAGATTTCTCAGCCATATCATCTTGATCTTGACATGATGGCATAGAGATTTTCACACGAGAAGAATAAACAGGAGGATTCTTTTCACCCCGGCTCTTTCGCTGAGAAGCCAACTCAATGATGAAGCTGCCCACCTTAAGTGACTGTGGCATGTTGCTATTGATGTGCTGGGATAAGATGCTCAAAATCTTGTTCCGATCCTCCTCCCAGTTGCAGTCTGAGATGATCTCGATCAGTTTGGTGGGACCACCAGGTGACCTCTGATGCACATAGGAGGTAGAAGCTGATTCCCCTTCATTGCAGGAAGACTTCCAGCTCTTTTCTGATAAGAAATTGAAAGATATTTCTGTATTATAGCATTTTGTACTGAACTTTGAAAGATTTTCATTTTTCCTGAGTTCTCAGAAAAGTGCCAGGGGCATAGATATTCAACAGTTGCCCAGTATCCCATTCCCAGGGACTTTCAATGGTAAACTGACACAATTTGGGAGTTTTCCATGAAAAAAAGAAAAAGATTCCAGAAAATCAGACTATAATAGTCTTCACTATTCTACTCACTGGGCTCTCTTAATAAAAGTGAATCCCTCTTGAGACTGCTCTAAAAAGCCATTAACTATTACATAAGAAGGTACTATCTTGCAAACAAAGTATATAACCAGGGTTAGGCTTATTTAGTATAGTGTACTTGCTATCCATATAAGCAAAGCAAAGATACTCACAAGATGCTTTGTAATATGTGAGGGGTAGGGTGCTTCCCTGGTGGTCCAGTGGTTAAGAACTGCCTTGCAATGGGGGCTATGCAGGTTCAATCCCTGGCTGGGGAACTAAGATGCCACATGCTACTGGCAACTACAAAGTCATACCTGCCTTGAATAAGACTGGTTGCAGTGATATAAATAAAAAATAAAAAAATATGTGAGGGGTAAAGTCAATCCTAAAAAAACAGCAGGAAAGATGATGTTTTTGTTGGGGGAAAAACCCCTACACTCTACCTCTAGTTTCCACTGCAAATATTTCTGAACTACTTCTGTGCCTCTGGATATGATTGTTCCACTTCTACATTTGATGCAAGACCACTCAACTCAAGTATGTTTACATTCATGGCAACACATTAACTAAATATACATTTCACTAGCTAGATTTCTATAGCAGGATCTCCCAACCAATGTGCTACAGTTATCGATACATCAGGATAGCCATCCCCTCAGCCTTCAGGGTGATCATGCTAACAGGCACCCCCTCCACTTGCCTCAATGTGCTAGCAACATTATCATTTTGTATGTTTATCATGCCATAAAAAAAGTTTAGGAAACACTGCTGCTTAAATGTCTGATGTCTTAAGAAGCAAAATCAAAAACACACAGTTAATTCCCTAGACACTACCTTAATCATATTAATTAGAGCAGTAACATTTACTAGATAAATCAGTGATACTCCTTCCTTTCTCCCTCTGTATTCTCCAACTGTAGCAACTATTGAGAATCTCAGGTAAAATTTCAGTAACTAATGATGTCAATATTGCTGAGGTTTGTAAAGAAGTTTTAAAAAAAAATCAGCGACCTCATCCTAAATGTTTCTTACAACATACCATACCACGAATACCAACAAATTGTATTTCTTAAAACAGGAGTGATAAACACAGCAAATATCTATTTTTACCAAAACTAGAAACAAGGTAGGTAAACATGCTCTGGGGGTTCCCCCCCATTATTAGTATAATCCAGATCTATGTATTAATAATTACTATTGAATGATAAGTTATAGTTTTCATTCTGACCTTGTGATTTATCAGAATCATCCTCCAGGTCACAAGTGAGTGGTTTCAAAGGCTGCTGTTCAGAAGCTGGCTCCTGACAAAGAGAACACCACAAATACTTCAATTCAACACATATTTAATATCAAGAGACTAGGACATAAGAATTAAATCTCTCAAGAAAGCCTAAACTAATATAAAAATTAAAGTACTCAAAGAACATCTTGACATCAACATGCACAGTTGCATTACCACCACACTATACAACCATAAAAACAAGTAGTCTTGCTGTTTAACATCTGTGACTGAGTTACCAAGAAAACAATTAACATTGCATTTATAGTGTAATTCTAATAAAGAAGGAAAAATATTTGCTGTTTAATGAAAGAAGTTTCAACTATTTAGAAAATTCACCAATGCAGAAAGATGCAAATCCTAAAAAACCACATTATTAAAACCAAAAATGTAAAAAATAAATAAATAAATAAAACCAAAAATGTTTAAATTTTCAAAATTACTCCAACATCAGAAAGAGTAATGCTTTTAAAATGACCTTAAGGGAATATGCTCTAGAACAGGTATGCAGAGAAACATAAATTGATATGCACATTATGTAAACCTTCTCTGCCCCTAAAGAATTACTTCACACTATTCCAACAGTAATGCAAATTCTAATACTAGCAACAAGGAATTGGAAGTTAAAAAGAGAAATCTATGCAATAAGGAATTCACCTTTACACTACAGTTCTCAGGACTAGAATGACATGAGCCCTGCTGCTGAAATGATGGGGATGGTGATGGTGATGGTTCTCTCTCTTCCTCTTTTTTTCGTTCATACACTCGAACTCGGGCACAAGTCATCATACTTTCAAAGTACAAGTAGACTGGATCCTTGTCTTCTTCCCGAATCTGTAAGTTTCATACAACAAAACATTCCAAATATTGGGGGGGAAAGTCTCCAGGACTCCAAAAGGAAAAGGATGTAATCTTTGCTTCTATTACAATACTTAAAAATTTTTAATGCAAACTTTAAATAGTACAGTTACGGTTTGTATGGGCTGCCTCTTGGGGCAGTCAGAAAGGATCTGTTTCTCTTTCAAGAAAATTCAGCACACCAGAGCAGTGCTTCTCAAATTATCTGCAGTGAAGGATAAATTTCTTAATTACCTGTCACACACAGACTGATATTTTTGGAAAAGACAGTAAAATAAATTACTGGGAAAACAAAGATCAAGTTTTTCAGTATTAGATTTAATAGATTAAAATTTCTCTATCAACTTGTAGCAAAAGTTTCTAAATATCTCCTTTCACTTTTTATACGTATTTCATCACAGACTAGTAACAAACAGTGATAGATTAGCACTGTATAAAGACCATACTAAACAGCACTGTACTAAACAATCTTTCTTCAATTTAATTAAACAGAAAGACTGAAATAGATTTACTAATAATCAGAACTGCTTAAGCTATCAACACAAGAGAAGCATCAGATCTACCTATCGTCTTCACCTGGTCATGCAACTATTATTTTAAACCTTGAACTTTATTGTATATAAAGACAATTTGCTTTAAAAAGATCAGTTACTCTTTAAAGTTTCTTCCTAATGCTTTCTAATGGTGTGTACTACATCTCAATCACTCAATATTCTATACTACAGGAGTAAGAGAACATTTAGAAGACTTTTGCCAAGTCATTTTTTAAAGCCGATTTGATATGATCCTCCTAAAGACAGATTTAGCTATCTTTAAGAATTATAGTAACTCTGCACAGGTCCATGTACAGCTTTTCTTCAGTAGTAAATACTATAGTACTATATGATCCTCAGTTGGTTGAGTCCACATATGCAGAACTACAGGCACAAAGAGCTATCTGTAACATTACACGCAGACTTTTGATTGCACAAAGGGTCTACACTCCAAACCCTCCCTGTTGTTCAAGGGTCAATCATACTACTATTCACTCTACTTTTATGACATTTTAAAAATTAATTGATTTTTTATTGAAGGATATTGCTTTACAGAATTTTGCTGTTTTCTGTCAACTTTTATGACACTTTTATGCCATCAATTAAACTGACTAAATCAGAAAGGGAGATGGCTTGCAGACATATTACCTGAAAGCACCATGATTCACAAAATACAAACCAAAAATCTGGTTGAAACCCATTACCTTTACAAATGATTTTTATAACTTTCATCAAAAGACGTAACTCCAAGCTTACCACAGGATTGGGTTTGGGAGTATATGCCCTCGCAGGTTTAATTCCAGTGAGCAGTTTGCCCTTCACAGTAGTAGAGGAAACTTCTGGCTGAGGCAACAACAACGGTCTCATAGGCTCAATGACAGAAGGCGTTGGGATGTATACTGGCTCTGGGTCTACTTCACCTTCTACTTTCACCCAGAGTGGGTAATGTCGGACAGGCTGCTCCGGTTCTGTTTCACAGATAGCTTAACAAGAAGGGTAAGACAAAAGTTCACTGAGGCATTGTCAAAACAAAATATTTGCCCTCATAAAAAGCATTAACTCATTAAAATAATCAGATAGATACCCCCTAAGAAACCTTTAGTTGGCCCTCATGAACCTTAATTAATTTATTAACCAAGTATTTACTGAATACCTATTATAAATCAGGCACTGTTTTAGATCCTAGAGTGAAAACAGCTATGACTAAAACAAAGTTCTTGCCTTCACAGAGTTTATAATCCACAGGAGAAAACAATCTAATAAACATATAGTATCAAGTAATAAGAACAACACAGAAAAATACAGATGGATAAATAAAGGAGTTAAGAGGAGATGCTATTATAATTAACATGATCAGAAGAGGCTTTCTCTATTATCCTGGAAAGATAATCATTCTATACTATGCTTTTTAATTTTACAACTAACAAGTACTTTTTGAACCTCACTATCTACAGATTCTAAGCACTTACTATGTTTTAACTCATATAACTGTAACAATAGTCCTTGAGATATTATTATTCCCATTTGGTTCCAAATAGGGAAAGGAGTATGTCACAGTTGTATATTGTCACCCTGCCCATTTAACTATATGCAGAGTACATTATGAGAAATGCTGGGCTGGATGAAGCACAGGCTGGAATCAAGACTGCCAGGAGAAATATCAATAACCTCAGATATGCAGATGACACCACCCTTATGGCAGAAAGTGAGGAAGAACTAAAGAGCCTCTTGATCAAAGTGAAAGAGGAGAGTGAAAAAGTTGACTTAAAACTCAACATTCAGAAAACTAAGATCATGGCATCTGGTCCCATCACTTCATGGCAAATAGGTGGGGAAACAGTGGGAACAGTGACGGACTTTATTTTCTTGAGCTCCAAAATCACTGCAGATGGTGACTGCAACCATGAAATTAAAAGACTCTTGCTCCTTGGAAGAAAAGCTATAACAAACCTAGACAGCATATCAAAAAGCAGAAACACTACTTTGCCAACAAAGGTCCACCTAGTCAAAGCTATGGTTTTTCCAGTAGTCATGTATGGATGTGAGAGTTAGACTACAAAGAAAGCTGAGCGCCGAAGAACTGATGCTTTTGAACTGTGGTGTTGGAGAAGACTCTTCAGAGTCCCTTGGACACCAAGGAGATCCAACCAGTCCATCCTAAAGGAAATCAGTCCTGAATATTCACTGGAAGGACTGATGCTGAAGCTGAAACTCCAATCCTTTGGCCACCTCATGCGAAGAACTCACTCATTTGTAAAGACCCTGATGCTGGAAAGACTGAAGGCGCGAGAAGGGAACAACAGAGGATGAGACAGTTGGATGGCATCACAGACTCAATGGACCCGAGTTTGAGTAAACTGTGGGAGCTGGTGATGGACAGGGAGGCCTGGCGTGCTGCAGTCCATGGGGTCGCAAACAGTCTGACATGACTAAGCAACTGAACTGATACTTTGCAAAAGCTGAGGTTCAGGGAAGTCCAATAATAAGAGGCAGAACCTGGATCAAACCCAGTCAATCTGGTTCCACAGCTGTTACCGTTGCCTTCTGATGACAACTTCTATTCAGAAGTTAGCCTGAACTCAGCATAGAAGCAAAAATACATCAACAGGAAAGCAATGAAACCTGACTAAGATGAAATCATACCATCAATAAGTTCTACACAAAGGAAAACATGCACTGATTCTTAACCAAATTAAATGGAGGAGCTAGGTTAACAGGCTTCTTTTTCAAAAGCAAATTGCCTATTCCCAACAATAAGACAAGAGAAGCAAACACTGTGTTTTGCATTTCAATGATCAGTGCTCAGAGAGGATAGCTCTTAACCAAAGACCCACAATCTTTGCCTAAAATCACATAAATGGAGCAACTAACACTTAATCTTGTGTAATAAAGCAGTATCCAAACTGCTACCTGATCTCATAAGAAGTCCACTTGCTCTGAACACTAAGACCCCACTACTGATGAATAATTTTGTCTAAAGTCTCCTAAGGCTAACATCATTCAGAGTGTAACTATAAAATACAGAATAAAGGCTTAAAGATTAAAATACCAAGGGAGAAAAAACCTTCTGAGCTAGAATGTGACTGAGTTAATTCATTAGCTACTTAGCAGCCTCTGTTATCCAACTTTTATAACATAGCTTATTATCACATGATTCACAAAGGCTGTTAAGACCCCAGTATTCATTCAGGTATTCAAATATTTGAACATTCGTATGTATCAGACTTTGTAGACATAGTACTGAACAAAACTGATAAAAAAAATCTTGCTTTCATGGAGGTTATATTTAAGATGTAGAGGAAAGAGGGTAAGACAGTTAATAAACGGGAAAATAATGCAAATATGTTGGATTTTCAAGTGCTTATGAGAAAAAACCAAGCACAGAGAAGTACTGATAAACAGTTTGTTTAGTGAATATGTATGAGTATATATTTTAAGGGGGGTGGTTGCAATTTTTAAAATTTTTTAAATTTAAATTTTTAAAAATTTAAAAAGGGTAACCAGAGTGCCCTTACAAAGAAGGTGGTGTATACAGAGCCTCTACCACTCATTTAGTTAAAGCTTTGTTGTCTAGTTCTATGAATTATTTCACACATATTAATTTTACTAGATAAAAGGCTTCAGGTCAAGCAATACTGTCTTACCTCTTTCAATCATCTTTTAAGGACTTTCTAAGCCTCCATAAGCTAAGGATTTACTAAGAACTCTTTTCATCTTTTTTCTTTTGAAAATAATAGCTCATAACTTCACAATACTTCAGAAGAAAACCCCTTAAAATCTCTAAACATATTAATTCCTTACAGGGATAAAAAACAACTAAATTTTCAATTGTGGATAAAACAGAAATTGTGGCTCCAGTAAAAAGGAGAGTTCACAAAATCTATTGAATTGAGTTCTGTTGAGGGCAGTATTAATATTGGAATGACAGCAACTAGGGTAAGCATTAAAAATTAAGACTACCATTGGCAGAGACTACACCTGAAGCCATGAAAATGGACAGACTCCACACAAGACCCTAAACAACAGTCCACTTCCTCACACTTCCTTGACCCTGCTGTCCACTTGACTCCTTTACACAGTCTGGACTCCAAGACTGAACACTTCTCTTTCCCCCTTCACAATACACTTGAGATACTCCTACCTTTCATCCGAAACCCAGATAAAGGAAGCTAGCAAAGGCACAATGAGGGCAGAGCCAGAGTAGCATATACTCACAGAAGCCAAGAACAGAAACCTGTTTCAAGAATATGGTAATATCCCCTTGTTTCTATTCAAATGCCTTCTAATACACACCATCTTCCCAAGGTTCCGTGGCATTATCATTTTGCCTTCTGAGTTCTCAAAAAGCCTTTTGTTCATGATACTTAAAACATGGCACTTTTGTTATTGTGGCACTTAAAATTATCATAAATATATATCTACATGTTTACCTGTTCATAAATTGACAGTAACTTCTTACAGACGGACTTAGTTTTAACTGTCTATATCTTAATTCCTCTCACTCCTAGCAGTGCTCAGAGTACTTGCTCCATGAATGAAGTGTTGGGCATATAAGTCCCAGAAAACTGCTTATGCTAACAATCAGCATACTATATTCATCTCCCTCCCATTCTGAAGGCATTTTAAACCTCTTTATTGTGAAATATAATACCCATATGTACAGAAACAATGTATATACAACTTAACATCAATACATATTAACAAATATACAACCATGTAAACCCTATAAATGTTAAGAAATGAAATATTGCCATAAACTCCAGAAGCCTTTGTGTGCCTTTCTCAACCATAATCCCTTCCTACAAATAACTCACTTAAATTATTAGCCACCTCTTTGCATTCCTTTTTAACACCAAACATCACCACTAAACATCACAGTTTAATTTTGTCTACTTTTGAATTACAGAGGTGTGTTCCCTGCCTAGCCTTTTTCCTTCTCACTCAACATTTTTGTAAAACACATCTATATGTTACACATAAATCATTTATTTTTACTGTGGTATATACTATCCACTGATTATTCATACTATTATTTATTCATTCTAATGCTATCAGATATCTGGGTTTGTTTCCAGGTTTTTAGTTACTGTGAGTCATTGTACCAAAACACTGTTGTAGAATGCAGTTCTGCTGGTTACTTTGGAGTCAAACTACTAGACTAAGGGCACATGAATCACCAATCCCAGTAGAAACTGTCAAACTACTTGCCAAAGTGCTTATACCAATTTACATTCCCACTAGCTGTACATCAAACCTCCCATTTATTAAGAGCTGATATCATCAGAGAATTTTAATTATAACCATTTTTGCAGGCATGCAGTACAATCTTGCTGTGGATGTAGTTTGCATTTCCAATTATAAGATGGTCAACATACCTCCTCAAGTGCCTCTAAAAGATTTGCCCCCACTTTAAAAAAAATATTTACTTTTATTTGGCCATGCTGAATCTTAGTTGTGGCATGCAGGATCTTTAGTTACGGGATGAGAACTCTATAGTTGCTGCTCAGTTGTGGAATGTGGGATCTAGTTACCCAACCAGTGATCGAACCCAGGTCCCAAGCACAGTCTTAGCCTCTGGGCCACCAGAGAAGTCCCAGACTTGCCCTTTTTTTAACGGGACCGTTTAATTCTGATTAATCTGCACCAATATCTCTATATATTCTGGATACAAGTCCCTAAATATTGCAAGTATCTATTTTCTCACTGTAGCTTACATTTTCACTTGCTTAATGTCTTTAAGATCTGAGTTTCTCATTTTTAACTCATCATATGTATTGACTTGGCCAAGAAGTTTGTTTGGATTTTTCTGTAAGATATTATGGGAAAATCTGAATGAACATTTTGGCCAACCCAAAAAGGACCGATAATTTTCTTCTATCACACTTAAGAACCCTTCTACTAATATGAAATCATACACACACACACACTTTTTTAAACATTATCTTCTAAAAGTTGTGTTGGTTAGCTTTGACAATTGGGTCTG